TGCATTGGAAATAATAGGACCCCTTAATACCAATTGGCCCATTCTCTGGCTTGGCTTTGAGCTAAATCTGAGTTTCCTTCCTTCATGTCTAAGTTCATATTCTGTTTGTAGCACTGGCTTTCTAAAATACAAGTGCTTTTTCCCTGAGTCAGCAGCAGCACCTAAGCTTTCTGCAACTACTCACTGTCGGATGAAAACTTCAAAAGATTCTCAAGATAGTTCCTTATCTGTCTGTGTTTTTTACATAATCTGGGTCAAAGGATTCCCCTCTTCATCTGACAGTAAGAGAGTTCAATGGATATCTCTTGGGTCTTCTGGCTTTTTGACTGCTTGACTAACCAGTTTCCATGGATATTTGCTACTAATAGTCTCTGTCTAGATGAAACACAGATAACATTTTGCTTTGTATGAACATTAAAGGTAAATACCTACATTTTGTATAATCCAGAATGATCTACCCTCAGCTGTTGCTTTTATCCAAAAGCCATTTAAAGATAGTTTGTAAGAAACTCGTCTCATAAGAAAAGGCTGTTAGGGAATATTTAGTCCCACTTTAGACAGTAATCTAGATTCTAGACCACAGGTAGACTACATGTAGTTTTTGGGCTTTATCTCCCACCACTGCTACCAAATTTAGGGATACCAGGTGGGAAAAAATGTCAGTAATCCACCACAGAAGGCTAAGATGAATACATTTATTTTCCAACTAAATGAGTCCAGATTAAATTACCATAGTGGTTTACATATGAAAATCAGCACTAAATGGACAGTTTTACCAAAACTGTTAAATGTTGTATTGCAGAGGAAGCATATGTGCAGTTTGTGGACAAAATGCCACCTGGACCCCCTAAAGCTGGACACCACAATCTAGACCATTTAGGTGTTTGTCAGTAAACCATGGAATCTTTCAAGTTCACATGCTCTGCCTGATTCCTTATCCCTGAAAGGAAGACAAAAGCTAAACAAACTGCAATTCCACATTCTATCTGAACTTGGGAAACTGTGGTTTGTTTTGACCAAACTTAGTTAACAAACCAGGAACTACTTTGATCCTGATTTGTTTTGACTAACTTTGGTTAGCACTAACTACAGTTCCCTGAGTGTATGGATGAACTACAGTTGTTCTGACATGATAGGTGCACTTTTCACTCTCCTTCTCTTGCACACAAAGAAGGACAAGGAAAGAAAGGGCATACAAGCCTTGCCATAACATGGTCCTGATGACCTTCACCATGGTTTAAGTAATAGTCAAAACTGGTGTGATGACCTGAGCAGACTGAAGCAAATATAGGATTACAAGCTGGCGAAGGAATCTCCATCTTTGCCCTGTGAGTGCCATGTCTCCTGTATGTCCCTTTCTCAAATCTATATGCCACATTTCTCCTGCCACTGGTGATAAAGCTGGTTGCTGGTGACATTATTCTCATCCAAGGGAGCAGTGATGCTGTTACAACACTGATGCTGTTACAGTGCAGTCCTATGCACACTTCGACAGAAAAAGCCCTGCAGTTCCCAGAATTCGACCCTCGTTAGACCAATACACCATTATCAACTTATGCTGGCTCAAGCCTTGAGGCATCCGTCAGTGCCATTTCACTAACACAGTAGCTAATAGAAGCAGGCCATAAATCAGAGTAAAATATTTCAAGTTAAAATGCTGTATGCATTTCCCTATCTACATCTTACAGTTGGAACTACTAAAGGCTAATTAGTATCATATAATTATCTAGTTCTGTGATCACAGGTTAGTGTAACATGTTATCTGGCTTCTTTGTAACTACAAGCTTTGATAATATGTTTTAAAAGACCTATATGTTATAAAAGTCACTGGTGAATTTCAAGGAACTCATATTTTAAATTGGATTAAATGGGCTGCTATCACAGCAGATAAGCCAAAGCCTTCTGAATAATTTGCATTTTTCAAGCCAGGAAGCATGGACGGGCTTACATTTTCCTTCACGTTAGTATCCCAAGATCCTGCACAGCGAATCCTACCTGCTCTGATCCCAACCTCTTCTTCATTTGCATGTTTCTTCCCAGTAACCCTTACCCTGAGTTGATTTGTTAGCTGTTTAAACAGGTCTTAAGATGTACTTTGTTCAAGCTATACTATTTTTTATGTTTTAAATTTGGGTTTAAATTTTTGTATGATTGCTTTCCAGATGTTTTTAATGCTGCTTGGGATGTGTTCCTCACTTGGGCCTGCCTGACACCAACCTTAGCATATTGTCAGCACAAGGTTAAGAAAGGCTTCTGCTATGGGGCATCCAAACACAGCATTGCAATTTCCAGATCCTGGTATGCAGTTGCCAGAGTCCCCTGGAAAAGATGGCAGCTGCAAAGATCTCCTCCAACCATCCAGCATGTGATTGAACTTCAGGCATGGTGGCAGATAGGATAGGACTGGGAGAGGAGGATGGAAACCATGCCCATATGAAAACCATTTAATCATTTGTCAGGCACATCCAGGCCCCATAATAAATAAATAAAAATGCACTGAGTAGAAACCATGCAGTGTTGCTTGTTGTGATGCATGAACTCTACCATAGGTTAATTTGTGCTCACCTGACAGTTGTCAATTGGCAACCTGTCATTTGAAAAGTGAAGCTATAAGGGGTCCTTGGCCTGGAAGGGAGAAGCAATCACATCTGTCCCTTAGTTTTCAGATCCTCTAGTTTTTAAATATGTCCCTTATAGTTCTTAGTGCTCTCCACATTTTATATATTTCCTTTTTTATTTTTAATAAGATACAAATACAAACAATCATATAATAAAGAAAAAACACACTAGGTACATTTTTTTAAAAAAAGCATTACCCTTAGTGCACCCCTCCACAGGGACCATGGCTTCCCAGTATGTTTTTCCTTCATTTTTTTGCTCTTTCTTGAGATACCCCCTTCCTTCCAAAACTGCAAAACATCATTTGGGGGATTTTCTACATTTTCCTTAACATGTAGGTACTCCAGAGAAGGGAAATCTACATCCCACCCACTTTTTGAAAGCACATACTTTTGATGACTATCAAAAGGAATTGTTCTCTTTCTTAATGCTGTCATTTTAAGTTTTTTCATTTAGTAAGACAGAGCAATTATACACAGATTTTATGACTGCATATTTCCCTGTTGAGTCAATTTTGCTTTTTCTCTGCAAGTGAACTCAGAGACACTGACTATATAAAGATAGTATGCAATACATAAAAACATATCCATTGTTATAAGGTGACCCCTAAAAAGTCATGCAGTGCTGAAGATCATGAACAAACAGCATTAAAATAATAAAGGGAACAATATTGAATCAAAGAATTCTTGAAAGCTTTTATTATATGATATAGTTAACAAAATTCCTCCACTTCAACAAATTAGAATTAATTTCCATTTCTTCAAAAAAGAGTGCAAAATGTATACAACAATGATCTAAAAAGATTTGTTTTATATGAATGCACTTACTCCTGAATAGTTACATAGTGTCACAATGAAAAAAAAATCACAGGACTGAAAAATGAAATGTAAAATCACAGGAATGAAATCACACAATGAAAAAAAGCCACAGGAATCACAAGTAAGATTCTCCCACCCTTTACATTTGCCTGTAACTACATGAGAGGTTTTTGTTTATGTGGTCCATCTTGATGCCAAGTTGTCATACCATGCAAAGCTTGTGAGAAAGTCTGTCATTCATACAGTGGGTTGGATTCAGTCTTAATTAATTTCAGTTAAATCTAATTGAAATCATGTTAAACATCCTATGGAAACTAAGTGTGGCTAACTTATAAGAGATTCCAGTATTCGGGTAGGCTACATATATTTTATACCAGAGATGGGAACATTTAGGAGGCCTGGGGCCAGCTTTACACCCTGACATGTTGCACATACCACATTCCCAGATTCTGGAGGAAAATGGCCTCTGTAGTTATGGAGTGCCAAAAGGCTCACAACTGGAACTTCATTCCCACTCTGAATGCCTTTCACTGCCCAGCCCCAAAAGAATTGGGGGTCAGTGGGGAGCTTCAAGGAATGACAGAGGCAAGTGTTAGCCACTCCTGCTTTAGACATGCCCAAACAATGTGGAAGCAATTTAATGTAAGCCACAGTAATGCTGCACTGATATACTGTATTTTTCACTCTATAAGACTCACCTGACCATAAGACACACCTAGTTTTTAGAGGAGGGATCCATGGAAAGCTTCCTGATAATCACAGGCACATTCCCCACCACTTCCCCATGGGCTTCATTAAAAGACGGGTTGCCATTTGAAAACACACACCGACCTGTGATTAAGAGGTCTCACCTGCACCGGAGGAGGGAGGCGGAGCAGGGTGCGCCGAGCGCATGTCGGCCAAGTGTAGTGCAGCCGGGCTGGCAGCGGTCTTCCGGGCAGCGCGGTGGCGGCAGCGGTGGCAGGTCTTCCTGGCCGGTGGGGGTGAGCAGTCCATCTCTCCGTGTGGCCGGCAGGTTAAAGCCCGCGGCTCCTCCTCCTCTGCACCACTCCCCCTGAGCGGCACAGCTCTCACCTGCGCTGGAGGGGGGGGTGGAGCAGGGCGCGCCGAGCACGTGCCGGCCAGGTGGTGCCACATGGTGCAGCCGGGCCAGCAGTGTGCCGGCGGTGGTCTTCCGGGCAGCGCAGCGGCGGCAGGTCTTCCTGGGCAGTGGGGGTGAACAGTCCATCTCTCCATGCGGCCAGCAGCTTAAAGCCCGCGGCTCCTCCTCCTCCGTGGCAGGTCTTCCCGGGCGGTGGGGGTGAGCAGTCCGTCTCTCCGTGTGGCTGGCGGGTTAAAGCCCGTGACTCTCCTCCTCCGCACCGCTCCCCCTGAGCGGCACAGCTCTCACCTGCGCCGGAGGCGGAGGCGGAGCAGGATGCGCCAAGCATGTGCCAGCCAGGTGGTGCCACGTGGTGCAGGCAGGCCGGCAGCATCCCGGGCGTCGGGCACACACACATTCACTCTATAAGACGCACAAACATTTCCCCTTACTTTTGAGGGGGAAAAAATGCGTCTTATAGAGCGAAAAATACAGTATATAAAGACCACTTAAACTGTGATTATGGGAACAAGCTCTGCCTCTCCAGTTCCCAGGCTGGTTCCACATCCTTTATCAAAATTATGCATGTCACAGGTAAAAAAAATCTACTGTTTTGATCTCTGTTCCATGTTCAGGGTACAAAACTACTGTTGAGCACCTGGGTTAAGTGCAGGGAAGTTAAATTTACAGAGCAAAGTGTGTCCTCTTCCCTTCTGTTGTTAGTAGCAGTTTTTGCCTCTGAGTTTCTGAATTGCTAGTAGAGGAAATGTGGAACTATGTGCAGATGTATTCACAGAAAGAAGGGAGGAAGAGATGGAGGGAGGGAGGACAATTCAAACTAAACATGATGTAGTCACTTGTGTCTTTTTTTTAAACCACAGTGGGTACAAGAGCTTGGAAAGCAAGTGTAATTTTGCAGGGGGAGCGGGATTACCCAGGGGGAATCAGTGAAGCAGCCCCATCCTTACTTGATGTTCTTCTACTTAAATTCCCAAAGCTGCCTTGACTGGGACAGAGGAAAGTTAAGGAAAAGACACATAACTGCTGAGTATGAATAAAAGAGATTGAAGGTGTGGATGTGGATGTTTTTGGATATGTCCATTGACTGATATCAAAACAGCATCCTGGCACCAGACAAAGACTGTTTCTTCAACCCTATCTTCTGAAAAAGTATGCCACCTCAATTTTGCTAGCATTGAATACAGTACCATTTGCTTCTGAACAAACATATGGGATCGACCTGCTAAAGCATAGATTCAAAGTGATTGCAAAGCTTATTGATGAGGGAAAACCCATGGCTATATATTTTTCTGATGAAAACCATTCTTTTCTGTATCCAGTACTTTAAATAGTCCCTTTATCTTGAACAAGCAATTAAATAATAGTAGATTGGTGTAGCTCACCCACCCAGATGAAGATGCATCAAAAATCCCCCACAATTCTTGGCCAACGGTTGGTCAATGCTGTTCTGGAACACTGATAGCTTATTAACAATTTGGAACTCTTAAAAGGGGGGAGTGATTTCAGTGCAAGATTCCAGAGGAACTGCTACCAAAGCCGGCAGGAGTCTGCACCTCGATTCATTGTAGTATTCCCTGGGCAGCTGAAAGCATTCCTGAACTCCTCAAAATTGCTCATAGCACCAATCACTCTGGGAAAAGAAATATAAGCATATCAATTCATGCAATAAAGGGTCGAGTCTCTTCCCAATATCTAAATGTCTGGAAATGTTATTTTTCCAGTTATCTACTTTTGATGTCCTATTCTATCACAGTGCTGAGGAAACACAGAATAGCATGTACTAATGTTGCTACAGAATCATCCTGTGCTTGACAGGCAGTGGAACTGCATCTCACGATGCGGCTTGCCTACTGCAATCCCACCAATAATACCAATTATTATGCAGACAGTTGTGCAGACATAGCTAGATCAGGATGCAAAATGGTGGAGGGATAAGAAATGTCATTTGGCTGCTGTAAAGTTGAACGGTCTTAATGTTTCATCCAGAGAACATTCCAGGTTGGCAGGCACATACCTGTGCACCATTGCAGGTCATCATGCCCTATTCTAAACATTAAAAATTGAAATAGGCTACGAGTACCATTATTTAATTCACTTTCTTGAAGTGTTAGGAAATTATGGTATGATACCTAACCCAAAGTACATGTTGGCACATCCCCTTCCCATGCTCACCCACGACTCCAGTCCCCTTTTCCTCTGCTGTTTGTCTATGTTTCTTTTAAATTGGAAGCCTCTTGGGGTAAAGTCTTGTCATTTCTATTCTTTATTGAGCATCACGTAAAGAGATGGCACTCCATATACAGAGAAATAAGCAATGGCATCTGTGGTTCCTATTATCTCTAATTAAAACAAAACTAAAACTTTCCAAACATGAGAAAGGAAAATCAGAATGTTTGCATTCTAGATCCCAACACAAGATAAATCAGTCTGACTATACCTGCAGAAGGAAAAAGAGTTAAAGACTCATAGTGCCAACCTCTCAAATCTATTTATAGATGAAGTGGATATTCCATTCTGCAGTTATAAATGTAAGTATGGTCTAAGCATTGCTGCCACAAAGCAGAGAAGAAGGGAGAAGGGCCTAGGAAGGAATAGTGCCTTTGGATGTACGATTTGCATATAACTGAAGACAGAGGCACCATGTCAAAAGAAGCATTTCTGCTTCAGGCTACAGGCCCTGCTGCAGCTAGTTTCAGTAACAATGATAAAAAAAAAAACCCAGAAATCTTGCACCCTTGAATCTGCTGCCCGAGGCGGCTGGCTTCAGATTGCTTCACAGTAGGACCACCTCTGTATTTAGCTTCAAACTTCAAACATTTTTACCCATCCAGTATTCACAGGAGGGGTTATGAATATACAATGATTTCTCTTTGGTCAAAAGGCAAAATCACATCAACACAGAGAAAGTCACCAAAACTGCCTTGTCATATCTAGCACCTTGATTAGGTAATCCACAGAAGAGCAACTAGGGTGTCTTCCCAGTAGCATTCTATATATTTTATTAATCTGTTTCCCAAGGTAAACAACACTAATCTTGTCAATCACCTTTAGCACCACTCATTATGCATACACTTAATTATGCTGGTTACTTGCTGTCTGAACTGCCTTCAGACCAGCCATTTCATCTGAGGTGACCAGAACTGCATGCAATACTCTTGACGGAGGTACACCATTAATTTGTATAATGGCATTATAATCCTCTCTGCACTATTTTTCATTCCAGCTTTTTATTAATTCTGCTATCCCACACATTCATGGCTTGCAGCAGCATATTAAACAGAGATCTCAACGGAAGGTAGAGCCTGTAATTTTATCCTCATCTTTTTCCTGAGTTGATGGTATTAGAATAGTACCTGCACTGTCATGATTAATATATGCTTTGCATTCATTAGCACTGTGTTTTGTTTTGTTCTGTGGAGTTGCCTGTTTGTCTTGTTGGGTCTGTTATCTCTCTAGCTTCTCACCATTTTGCATAAGTTACCCAATAAAAATATAATTGAATTGTGCTGCTTCACTGCCAAACTCTTCCTTTGGAAGAGTAATACATGAGTTGAAATAGTATTTTCTAATCCCAAAAGGTAACATATACCCAATTTAACCCTTTTCATCCTGTTTCTTTCCCTGTTTTTTGTATCCAGTGAGTTTCACCGTAGACTTTATATAAGAAAGGAAAGAAGTGAGGAGGATTGTACACTTCCTATAGTAAGAAAATGTGCCATCATGTGAACTAATAAAATTTTGAAGGTTGGGCACGGACAGCCCTACCTTTGGGCAGAAGGAAGCAGTCATTTCAAATGGTAGAGACTGGCTGGTGGGAGTGATTTCCCTCTCTCCTGGTCATCACAGTCCTTTCTCCTGTTTCTGGGGCAGCAATCCAGTAGCAGCAGTCCTTTTTTGCTGCTGGCCTAGACTGACTAATGGCTTCTGCACTCAAGGTATTTTTCATGTGTTTATGATCCCTCATTCATGGAAGGGTGAGATCCTTCTCATGCATGTTTTTCAGCCTTTTGGAGAATGTTTTTACAGAAAGGAAAGTCTGGTATTAACTTTTAAACTGGAACAAAAGCCTCCTCAGAAGTGGCAAGTCCACTATATGCAGATGTACCACAGTACCAACTTGTGATTGTTTAACAGAATATATAGAAAGCCTGGTAGAGGGCAGGGAAGACATGCAAAAGATGCATGTTTTCTCCTGCAATGAAAATGGGGACAAAACCTCAGTAAAGAAGTGGAACAAACCCATCATGTAGAGAAGTCTTTATCCATCTTCCAACATGTCAGAGATAACATGGAAACACTGCCTAATCTAGCACGCAGGGAGGCAATAATAGAGAACAGAATACTAGAACATGTGCTAATAAATTCAAATCCTAGAGCAAAGAAGGGGAAGAGAAATATCGACTTGAATTCTAACTTTCCCCTTGCCTACAACACATAATTGTTCATCCCCACAAACCAGAGTTTTCCTGTTAACTTCATTCTGCTATCCTTTGTGGCCTCTGGAAGCTTTCTCTTGGGGACATGACATGAAAAAAGGCATGGGAAGAGGAGAAACATGTGAAAATGCTGAAGAAGTAAGTGAAAAGAAATCATTCTCTCCCTGATATGAGTAAAGAAGCTAAGCAAAAAAGCTGCTTTGCATCTACACTGCTATGTTTGCAGGAACTACTGAGTTTCCAATTGTGTTAACATGATGGGGAGTTGGGGGAAAACACCTTTGTATACCTGAACTGAGGAGGACTGTGAACTCCAGTGTAGATTTGCTCTCTTGCAGCTTCTGGTCTAAAGGAATTACATCTCACCTAAAAAGAATGATCAAACAAACATACAAACAATGAGCCAATGAATTAACTTAGACCTGAAATCCTAAATGAAATACATTTAAACTAGTCTATTTACAGTAGACAGTGATGGCCGGTGGCTCCAATGGAGCTACCCAGGTTGCTGTAGCCCCTTTCCAAACCGGTTCAGCACCATGGACAACTCCTTTAAAGTTTGGATAGAAACTCAGAATGGATACACCATTTTCCCATTTTCCTTGCTCCTTTGGTTTTGACTTTTCAAGTTATTTGCTTATACAGGGACAGGAGAAAATGGAAACTGACAGTAGGACAGGAAAGAGACAAAAACCACCCTCTTCCAAAAAAACTGATTGACAAAAAGCTCCAAGTTAACAATGTTCGTTATGCAATCAAGCAGAATTGTCTATTCACCACTAAGCAAGCAGCTAAATACGCACATCCCCTTTAAAGCCATTTTTGTCCTACTCACATGAGCATAACTGAGAAAGAAGAGCTGATTGTGGGTAAAGTCAATGCCAGGTAATAGGGGCTCTTCCTCCCCTTGCCTCTTTTCTTTGATCCACTTCCTATAGGCCTACAGACAGACACAAGGTGCACATTTAAGTGAGTGTAGATTTATGCAGCCCTTGTTAAGGGCTTTGTCTTTAATTTTTGGGGAAACACATGCAAGTGTGCATATGCACATGTGCGCACACACACACACACACACACAGAGGTGGTTTGCTTAAAAGCAAAACAATTACCTACCCTGAACGCTTCTCGCAAACCTCCATTGTCTGCAATGTTTTCTGCTAATGTCCTCTTTCCTTTTACCTGGTGAAATGAAAAACATGATGAATTAAGCCAGTTAGAAAAACTTCCATGCCAAACATTTTGACAAGATTCTTAAAAAAATAAAAAACGAAAAAACAACCTCAAGTTCTTTGCACATTCTTAACTTACATTCAAGCCTGCTTTCTTCCAGTAATAGTTGTTATATTGGTTGATCATACATTTTGTTTTTTCCTTAAATTTTTCTTCAGAATTCGAAGTCCACCAGGGATCCAAATTTCCATTTTTGTCATATTTACGACCTGCATTTTCATTTTCAATAATTTAAACAAATTATACGCTCATGATTAATAGAGACAGACACAGCTCTTAAACGAGTATACACATCTTTGCTTAACTTATCTCACCTCATTACAAGGGTAACGTGGACATGTTTCTTGCTCTACTATATTTGGAAAGCAAACATTATAGAAAATTTATGAAGTATGTGAACTTAAAAGACAGCCCAAATTTAGGCAAGGTATGAAAGTACAACAACAATACTAAGTCCAACAATACTGGATTTCTGTAATGTGCTCTACATGGGGCTGCCCCTGAAGACAGTCCGGATACTTCAGATGGTGCAAAATAGAGCAGCCAGGTTGCTGACGGGGACTGGGCGTTATTCTCATATAACCCCAGTCCTCTACCAGCTTCACTGGCTTCCCATCGAAGTCCGGGCTCAATTCAATTTGCTAGTTATTACATATAAAGCCCTTAATGTCTTGGGACCTGGCTACCTAAAGGAACGACTTCTTCCATATTTGCCCTCCCGCCCCTTGAGATCGGCAGCAGAGGTCCTCCTCCGGGAACCCTCTGTGAAAGACATTAGGAGGCAAAGTACCCGGAGGAGGGCTTTCTCTGTGGTGGTGCCCCATCTGTTGAATGTGCTCCCCAGAGAGGTCCGCCTGGCGCCGTCGTTATTTGTTTTTAGGCGCCAGGCCAAGACCTTTTTATTCAAACAGTATTTTAATAATCTTTAATCTTTATATATATTAATTGTGCAGCCAGTGTGTTTCCAGCTTTTAATTGTAATTGTTGTTGTTGTATTTATTTATTTCTGTGAGCCATCCCGAGGCTATGTAGTAAGGGGACGGCATATAAAAACTTTAAATAAATAAAGTGCCAGCTCCAAGTTCCTGATGGTACTTGAGCAAGGCAACCAGATTCCACCTTCTTACCACCATAGTCACCAATTTCTCTTGCCTGTTTGTGTTGCTATTATATTACATCACATTTATACCCCATCTATTTTCCTTTTCTAATGAACCCAGGCAGCTTAAATAATCTTTTGCTCCATTTAATCTATACATCAATTCCATGAGCTAGGTGATATTACCTCAGTGTCTGGCCCCCATTGAGTTTCATGGCTGAATGGGACTAGGACCTGGATCTCTATGTCCCAGTCCAACACTTTAAGCACTACACCACAGTGCTTCATATCATTGCTTTCACTTGCACACTTGACTAGCAAACAGTGATTGAGAAGCTATTGTCTATCTTCCTACCGCAATGGATGAGCAAGCAGGTTGCAAGCAGAAGAGAAACAAGTCCAGAGGACCTTCATCTGTTATTCCCTAGGATGTAAGTTCCCATCTGGTGCACAACAGCATCCATCCGTGATGCTAGAATTATTTATCCACAAGCAAAATCCATTGACTTCAATGGGCCTGATTCCCAGGTAACTGTTATCGGACTTATACCTGTAGTCATCATGTCTAATCAAAAAAGAAAAAAGACCATCTAGACAACTACCCACCATTATTATCAAATCCATGGGTGAACTCATGTCCAACAATTACTCCAATGGCACCATAGCTCAAAGACCTATAAAGGAAAAGGAGCAAATTCCTTCAAAATATATACATTTTAATGAGAATACAGGAATGCAAAAACACAAGAAACAATAGATTGAATGCCATTCAATATGCCCTCTAAATTCAAACATGTTACAATCATCTTCTACAACAATGGACAAAATACTTATTTCTCTAATTAAATATCCTTATAAAAATACCTGGTTGAAGGTACAATGTACTAGCAATGTACTAGCATCTTACAGATCATATGCCATCTACAAAAGGGGTTAAGCAAGGCTATGTTTTAGCTTTAGCCTTTTTCAATGTATATGTGAATCACATTACTGAGTATTTGACATCTTCAACATTTCATGTCCCCAGATACTAAATCCATATCAGTACAACTGTATGCAGACAATGCTGTATTGCTATCTCAAACTAAACTGGGTCTGAGAAGACAACTATGGGTATTTTCAAATTATTGCCAGAAGGGACATCTTGAGGTGAATTACAGCAAGACAAAAGTAATGATATTTTCAAAACACATTAGATTCTGTAAATGCTTCTTGGATAGGCAACCAGTAGAACAGGTTAGAGCTTTTAAATATCTTGGCATGATTCTTCAGGCATCAGGAACATGGACAGCACAACAAGAATATGCTGTGGTAAAAGCTTTGCATACCATAACAATTTTGAGACAGTTTTTTTACACTAAAGTTCAGAATTTCATACCAGCAGTGTTGGAAGTTTATAGAGCCAAGACATTAGCTCAGATGCTATATGAGATTCCAATTTGAGTCAGTACAAATTTAAAATCAATAGAAATTGTGCAGGCTAAATTTCTTAGGAAAAGATTTGCTGTACCAGGTTGCATCACAAATATTTTTCTGAGGTTGGAAGTGATCTTCCTTCAGTGTCTACACAGTCCAGGCTCAGGTTATTTTACTTTTGGCTACAGTGGAATTCAGTTTCATTTGGTCCTTTGGTCCTTTGTACTTTCCTTTGTAGTGGAGGAATGCATTACATGAGAGTAAGCAGATGAAAGATGAAATACATACTTTTTGACTATCACCTGACTTTTTCCTGACCGTTGGTTATGGCAAAGCAAGAAATTTATTAAAGTGGTGCCTGCACCATATTGAACATCAAATTAATCGTACAACACAACAAGGCACAGTGGGTTTTGTTTCCACAGGATACTCTGATGTGTCAACCTGACTTGGTTGAGGTATATATAGTTTTTTAAACCATAATAAGAAAGAATAATCTGTTATATGGTTTCCACACTTTACCATGGTTTTCCAGATCATCCAAACCTGGCACCATACTTTCCACTATGCTACCACAGAGTTCCCTGGAAAGATCAGCTGCCGCTGAAACATGGGATTGAATTTCAGTCAGGGTGACTGATGGAGTATGTGCCAATAGCAGGATGACTGAGTGAGGAAAGTGGAAACCATGCTAGCATAGGAAACGATTGTCTGTCAGGCAGGCAAAATAAAGTGCACCATGGAAACCATGCAAGGTTGCTTGTCATGACATGAGAACCTACTAATTTTATGACTATAACTAGGGAATGGAGGCAAGGATTCCATAAACAAGTAAACTTTTGTAGAAAAGAGCAGATCAAAGTATCAAAGTACTTCAAACACTTTTCCCTGTGTGTGTGAAAACCAGGAATACCTCAGACCAATACTAGAAGTACTGGACATAGAGTGTGTTTGTGTTTTGAATGAACAGTTCCTTTGACTGTTTTCACAGTAATAGGCAAATCACATTTGAGAGTTAGATTTATATGAACAGTTGCAGAGCTTTTCACAATTAACCTTTTGTCATCAATTATCTATTCCCCAGAACTGCAAGGTGATAAATGAATAGCTCCCCTTAGCAACTGTACCTTTTAGTCACAGAAAAGGGAAGGAGGGAGGGAGCTATGTGTTGTAAGATGTCTTAAGATCAGGTTGGGTTGGTTATAAATAAAATACATATATTAGTTATAGTTGGTCCTACTAGACTTAGCTATGCAATCAGCCAAGAAGAACATTTTTGGTTTAGTTTGTTATTTTTATTTATCTCTAGGATATTGATAAGAATGATACTATATATAACCCTTTTAAAGGATAAAGCCCTTGCTTATTTAAATATTGAGAGCAGAAGAAGAATGGAGGACTGCTATCAATGAATACAAGATGTAATTTTGGGTTTATGAAGGGAGTGAAGGAGTGCAAATTGGTACAGACAGAGATAAGGCCCTAGGGAAGAACAGAAAGAACACATGCAACAATAAATGCATTGCTTGCAGCGTTGTCACATTATTTTAAAATCCAAGCACAAGAAAGTCTGATCTGGATTGGTATGACACCATGAGCAAATGGAGCATTAACCCTTTCCATCCCCACTACTGTTTTGAAAAATGGTGCCCCTTGCTGCAAGTAGGGAGAGTGGGAAACTGCTCCTAATGGCACCAGTGGGAGATATTTCTGCCTTCCTAGTTGCATTGTAGAGAGTACTTTTTTTCCAGGATCTCATCTACACACTTGATTTTAACTTGTGTAATAACATATAGCAAACCACACATTTAATGACACATGTATGCCTCAGAAGGCAATCTAAGGAATGTAAATAGGTTACAAGAAGAAAAAGAGAGCTACAATGGAATGTATCTAGTCCTAATTCCCAAAACCCATCTAGAGAAGAAAAGAATATTTATGAATTGTTCATTCCAGACAGGATTTATAGATATGTATTTTTAAATTCAACTTGATGCATTCCCTAGTTAGGCAATATTGTGGTTCATCAGTTAATAATACACCAATATTGTGTTATATGAAGAGACTGACGCTTTCAAAGTATCTTTTAAACAGTTAATGATCCGTAACATGCTAATTGCTTTCAGAGTCAAGACTAAACCTCATGATCTAATTTCTACTCTGGCTTTTATTTTGTTACGTCTTCTACAAAAGGTAGTTTATATGTCATAAAATGCTTCCTACTGATTTTTCCCCCTGTCAATGCAGAATTCCATTATACCATGAGGTTACACTTCAACAATGGAACCATCCCGTTTTGTGGCAAGATTATTATTTTATATTGTATTGTAGACAGGTGTGGCATCAGATATAGAATGCAATCTTAAGAGAAAGGCTGTTCAACTTTTTGATAACATCAAGCAGCATGCCTAGAATACAAAACAAAGCCAGACCTCTGGCCTTGTCTCTGACTGAGCAACACTAGAACAAGTGCACAACACCTACTGTGCGGTTTGGTTGTGTAGATGCTCTGAACATTGTGCTTCTGGCAGTGAAACTTCTCACAATGAATGAGTAGGCAACATGCCATGAAATATTTGCAAGTCAAGTTCTGAAGAAACCAAGATATCCAAATGTTTACAGTCCCCTTTCTCGGAAGAAAGGTTCAGTTTGGCTGGGAATAACACCACCAACAGGCTCCAAAGACAAAAATAGCTTTGTAGGAAAGGCTGATGTCTAGACAAAGATCGTGGAAGCTAAGAGGCAGCCATCCCAGAAGCTAGGTATATGGGGGGGAAAAACTGGTGTGTGGGCAGCAGAATGAGAAACAGAAACCCAAAGGAAAGTTTGATGAATAAGGAGACTTGAAGTAAGAACAGATGAATAAGAATTCAGGAAATGGAATCTGAATTTCACACATTGTGCTGGTTGAGATGACCAGATCTCATCTTAACTAGCCAAGAGATGACTGCACCTTATAGGCACATTCATAGAGCCTTTGGTCTTCTCATCATGATTTGACCAAACAACCAGGAACTCTTTTATTAGCTATAGTTTCGATTATGCCCAAACCCTGAAGCTACATTTGATAGCTCTGGAACACCTTGATATTTAGAACAAACCAGCTGTGGCTCCTTTTCCTAATGACTAGGAAACAGGATGCTGCATGTGTAGTACAATATTTCAGAAAGAGATGAGTCTTCCACAGAAGGTCATTCATAACTATTATTTCATAATTAATTGTTGCTTTTTTCCCATTTGCCTTTTCAAGTGGATATATCATGAAACAGAAATTTTCAGCCTCTGCCCTGAGAGTATTTTGGAGAAGAAAGATTGATCCTCTCTCTTAACTGAAAGCAGGATCCTACCAGTAACAGTCATCCCAGTAGTAACCAGGCCTTGAGATTTAAGAACTGAAAACGCAAACACAGAAACCCAATGTCCATGGAGATAATCCATGCATAATCTATTGAACTCATTTGCAGTTCAAAACTGTGTAAGTGCTTTGTTAATATATATTTTTAATTCTTTCTAATTAACATGGGAATGGAAATGGTTTCTGTTCAGTCCCACTGAAGGAACAGTTTGTGTGTGTGTGATGCACACACGCATGCACAGACACACTGACTGAAAGAGAGGCTTCCCCTCTCTTTCAGTCAGTGGTATAGGGATGGAATGGAATAGAATAAAATGAAAACTTCTATGAGGATCTTCTACACCTTGGTCCTTTTGCAAGTGTAAGGATTCCCTTGAGGCTTCTGCTCAGCTGTAACTACTATCAGTATGAATGCTTCTGAATATTTAATTCAAGTCTTCCCTCGGCCTGCTTTCAGTTAACAATATACAGGCTGAAAGTAGCAAAACACTAAGACAGTTATTATTTTCTGAAGAAATCAATGGTCATTTTAGATGCATATGTAGTGTCCTCTGGTATTAAAACTGACTATCTCTCAGGGAAGTAGCTTTTCATACCATTCTTTATTTTTAATGAAAAAAGAAGTTAACAAAAGCAAATACAGTATAAGCAAGAACAGGTGCCTGTTTTCTCAGATATTGTGTGTACAGTAATATTGGCCTAGTGTATCAAACTATTTGTCAGATTATTGCCTTCACAGGTCCCCCTTTTCATTATACATACTGTAATTCATTTACAACTTTTTTTACCTGGGATACTCTGTTCCCCAAAAGAAAGGCTTCTGGAGTTCTCCTGCTGGGAATCCTGTGGTGTTTTTAAAAATAAATAAGAAGAAAAATAATAATAGGAAAGTCAGTCCAACTAAATAAAGAAGACAGGGATTTTCCAAGACATTTCTGAAAAGCAGGGTCTCTGTTTCTTTACACATTCACTGTCAATAATGTTAATCTAGTAGCTAAAGTATTGTGAATCTGGACTATGAATCAGGAATGCAATGTGCTCTTGTAATTAAAGCAGATATCAAGGTCAGACAGGGAAAATGTAAACACATTTTTTTAAATTCTCTGAATATTTTGAATTGTGTGGGCAAAATGGATAGCATTTTTTTTCAAAAAATAGAATCACTACTCAAGTGAGGGGCTTGCTGAGTCATTCACAGAGGGCAGCATAATTAAATCTGACTTGCCAAATGAGTTGGGTATGCCATGCTATTATCCACATTTGGCTTCATTGGTAGTTAGAGATGACTTAAAAGCAAATAGTTCAATGCCCTTATCATCAAAAGACAAAGTTCAAAACATTCATTCAGCCTATACTTTCCAAATGGTCTATGCCAATTATTTTAAACCATATTTAATTTAATTTAATTTAATTTAATTTAATTTAATTATTTCTATGCCATGTTATATTGATAAGCAGACTAGAAAGATTATTCTATCATATTATTATATATTATATTAAGTATACAGACAAGTTGTTGGGTCTTATCCCACTGTCTGGCTGAAATGAAAGCCCACCAATTAGCACTGGATTTGTGTATCGCAACAGCCACAACAACAGAATGCCATTCAACATTTGAAAGACCAGCTTCAGGATTGTTGCACAAGCTTCCAGTCATATTTACGATTCTACTGCAAAAATGGGCTTGCCATGGCAAATATGGGTGAAGCATGAACTGTGCACATGATTAGGCCATCCTGCAGTCACTTTACCACAGACACTTTACCACAAACTCTGTTCAGACGCCTTCCAGAACACATGTTACTTAGCCTTTGCTTTCAGCAAATGTGAAAAGAGAATGCCTGAGTTTCAATGTAACTACTTTCAGGGATTACCCACTCTATAACATGCAAGCTCCGATTCATGACCAAATGTTCTCAGTGATGAGGGCAGTTGCTGCAATATCTACAGTTTTCCTCATATTTGCTTTAGACTTTCTTTATGTATGGAAACAAGCAATTCATTGATTAAGCCTGTAGAGCTATTTCTAAAAAGCACATACATCTACCTACTGGAACAGCAGGCTTTTGGCCCTTTCCACATAGCATTATTTCAAAGGATGCACTAAATGTAACTCATGTCAAGTGAAGCAACAAGCAGTAAGCTCTTTTGGCTGCCCATCTGCTGTCTGCCGGCTGCTGTTCCCCTGCTACAATTACCACCTGTTTTGGCACTGATCTATGAGATGGAAAATGATAAAAACTGATTTTCTGGGGACTAAGGTCCCTCTAATGGTCTATTGTTGTTTGGAACTTGTCAAATAAGCTTATTTCTATGCTGTAGAACCAAATTAATTACACCAGCATGGCGAGCAAGGCATCTGCCACCCACATTTTCAAAAATTGTCTTAGCACACCCGAGAGTGTGAGCTTCATTTCTGCCGTGTGGACAATTAAATGTCTCCACTTTTCTAACTAAAAAGCCGTTACTCTATGTACAGTTGAAGAAACAAAAACATTAAGCATTAGCCACTGCTGTCTTCATTTTCAGGGGCCTTTCTTCTTTGAAACATCTTAGAGAATGACACGGTCTCATTGGATAGTGACAACCAGATCATAATATGACAAGTTTTATTGCTTGGCTATCATAGTTCAGTGTTTCTGATATGGGATGCAAAATGCCTAGAGCAGAGTTCAGAGGCCTGTTTCATTCACTAAGGAAAATGTTGAGATAAACATACAACTAATATCATATGTGCAGAAGCGCAGTTACACCTGAAAACGCATATCCACATCATCATCATCAAAACAGGTGGGTTAAGCTAAGAATCAGTGACCAGCCTATGTCACCCAGAGTGCTTTGAGGCAGACTGATGAGTAGAATGTCGACCTCTCAAGCCCCAATCTGAACACTCCAACCACTACACCACACCTTAAAGAGGAACAAATTTATTATAGCTTAAACTTTCATGAGCTGGAGTGCACTTTAGCAGATCCAGGAAGTTGGCAAGTATTTGCTTGTGGTTTTACTTTTGCAAATAACTAGTACTGTTCCAAATTTTGTTCCTTTTTTTTCCAGTTGCTGTGAAGATGGGCCAAAAAGAAATTGCACCTGAGAAATGAAGGAAGAGATAAGAATTTTGGAGATTTTTTTTCCACATTGCAGGGCCTGAGTTTTTATTCTGTAAGGAAGAGGGCTAGAGGTACATGCACGCTCTTTGTTTGCCAATTTCCCCATCCTTACATCTTTTTCTACTGCCTGAGATTCCTGGAAACCTTCTAGAGTACTTCCTCCCTTGGGACTTTCCAAGTCCTCTGGCCTGCTGAGTGACTGAAAGCTAAAAGAAGCATTTTGGTTTGGATTTGTTGCTGTTAAAAGTCCTTTTAATAACATTAACAACAGCACCTCATGCAGCTTTCAGCTGCTCAGCAGGCAGAAGCACTAGAAAGCACTAAGGGAGGAAGTCCAAGCTAAGATTTCTAGAAGTCTTTTGAAAAAACTGAACAGTTTTCACACATTCTCAAAATCCCAATGAATGAGACAGGAAAATCCCAATGAAAGAGACAGGAGACAAGGAGGTAGCAAAAGAGTAGGAGCGGTTCTGGCACAACAATAATTACACAAAGAAGCAAATTAACACCTGTAACAAGATATAACATTCAGTTGTCATGATTCAGGTCATAGGTGATCAAACTGAACTCGCTAAATTGTAATTCAGCCATTTCATAGTTACCTGGCTGGAATAAAATTTTCTAGGCCATGTTCAGAGATTAACACTGAGGGGGCCCACAGTCTAGCAGACAAGACATAAAAGCAAAAAGGGAATTGGAAAATAAAAGGATATATATCTGCTTTATAGTCTGTCATTCTGTGTCAAAGATATAGAGATATATAATGTGGCATACCCAGAAAATTAACAAAGATGGGCTAAAATACAATGTTTAATATAACCAAAAAATAAAATAAAAAAGTAAATAGAGGGAATTAAAAGCAACCATAAAAGAGCAGGAAGCACAGATGAAAGCTTGAATGACATCTTCTGGGGATTTGAACTGAATTGATCCAGAAATGATGGTTTTCTGGCATTGTAGCTTTTCCTTCCATTCAGTAATAATGTATATGCATTGCATTAGATGAAAAGAAAGAGCATATAGTAAAAGGCACCTTAATTCTTTTATAAGGCATTGTCCATGTCCTTGTAAATACAAATGCATGCATGCTAGCCAACCAAAAGCCTAGCTTAGTTGGTTCCTTACTCTAATTCAGACATTCATTTCTATTAATAGGTCTTCAAATGTCATTTGACTGCTGAGAATTACCAAATTAATTTTGACCTAAATGGAATTAGTTGGATGTTCTAATGAAGGTCTCATTTAGGATTGATTAGTCAATTGATTACTTAAGCAAATCAAACTCATTAAATTTTAATTTTACTTAAATATCTACCAGTGGAATAACATAGCATGTGTAGCATGTGCACTGTGTAAATCATCTATCAAATATAATTAGCAACAGTCCATTTTGAAAAATAAAGGTAATATTGATTTACCTTTATTATTGATTTACATATAGAAACAGAGAAATAGAGTGAGTCAGAAGGGGCCTCCCGGGCTATCTAGTTTGACCTCCGGCACCAGCCGGCTCCGCTCATGACATGCCCACCATGTGCATGTCCAGCCTATCTTTGAACACCCTCACCGATATAGAAACATAGAAACAGAACGATATAGAAACAATATAGTAAGTGAATATAAAAGTTACAAAATTAAGGACAAATTAAATCTAACAAAAGTCTATGGAACAAAATCAGTACTGCCAGTGGAAATTTAGTTGATTATTTTTTTAGAAAAAAATGGAGTGAAAAGGGATTGAATTCTGGTAAAATATTTATGCCTTTAATTCGAATGGTTAACATATTCTAGAAAATTATCTCTGTTCTAGGGAGCTTATACTGAAATATTTGTATGTACTTAGGTAGGTAGGGAGGTATTTGGTTATCTTGCTCTCCCTCCAAGGAGCTCAAGGTTTCTCTCTTTAATCATAATATGGGATATCCGGAAAGGATGAATAAGCCTAACAGAGGGTAAAAAGGAGTTATCTAAAATGAATGCATCATCTTCAGGGTGGGATTTGCCCACATATTCTAGAAAGCCTTCTCATAAAATGGCACAAAGTCACCTAACGATTGAACTTGTCAGAATGGTGTTGATCAGGTCTAATACAAGCAATGCTTTCCTAATAGGAAGAATGTTCTGATCATTCTATTGAAAACAATGGCTTTGTACCTGGGCATAGCTTAACTTCCTCTATGTATTTTTTTAAAAAGAAAGCATACCATTAACCTTCCTCTGCATTAAGGTTTTACTGATCATTTGGTATCAGGGCAAAGTCATGTTATGCAACAAAGCCTGTAGTCTTTCAAAAAGAGAGAGAGAGATTAGGAAAGGTGCCACATGAGAGGTTCACCTGGAGCTTATGTTGATTTCCAGTGCCAGCTGATGACCTCTTTAGTTCTCTAGGCTAGGGATGAAGAACTTTTGGCCCTCCAGATGTTTGGGATGCAACTCCCATCATCTCTCACCATTGGCTATGCTGGCTATGGCTCATGGAGGATGTAGGTCAAAACATTTGGCCAGCTCTGGTGTACACCTTTTAATTTTAATGTACATGTTTAGCTGTTGTTTGTTGAATATTATTTTTGTTTTTGATAATGCACATTTAAGACTAAGAGGAAGAATACCATAAAGAAGGAATTCAATCACAAAATGATGAATAACATAATGAAAAAATAGGAAGAATTGGACATAATGTAAATGTGAACAGCTTGAATCTTTTAATTAGCAAGACTACTTGAAAATATAAGCTCCAAAACAACTCTACTTATTAGCCATCAGGAAGCTGCTGGGCTGCTTTTAAAAGTGCTTTCTCATCAAGAAACTCCTGATTAGCCAGCAGGTTCATGGATAGCTAAAAAAATAAAAATAAACTCCTGCAGAAAAGTCCACATATGTGTGAAAATCCCTGCCTTCTCACTGGCAGGAATGCTCCAAACAGGGGGAGGCAACATTTCCCTTTCTGGAGTAGCTCGAGATGCACAGAAGTGTCGAAAAAGTAGGACACCCTGGAAGCTGTCAACTGAACATTGAAAACCTCGAGGCTCATATTTGATAAGCGGGAAATCTTGTCACTGCACTTCTTTGGATGCACATCTTTGGCTGCTTTTCCCATTCCTCTGGTGCTTTTTTCCTGGCATTAGGAAATTGTCCCTTTGTAACTGTCAGCAATTTAGCCTACATGCATTCTGGTTACTCTCAGGATGATATGCCATAAATTGTACATAAGAGTTTCTGACTACCAGTTGTTTAATGATCATAGCCAAATGCCTCTTCCTTCTCCCTGCTTGCCTTGCTCCACCAGCCTTCTTCCTAGATTAGGTTGCTGAAATAAAGTGTGTGTGGAGGGGGGGGGCACAGGGGGAGGGCAGTCAGAAATGAGATCTGGCATGAAATGACTGTGAGCTCAGTTCAGCCATGGAAAACAAATTCTTCAGTGCAGCATGTGAAACAGCACCATCTTTTTTTCTAAGCATCTTTGTGATGCTCACTCTGGAATGGCCATGTGTCCTCTTTACAAGGAACAGTTTTCTATCAGAAGGGTTGTCCTTTCCAATTCTGGTTTAACCATAAGGAACCATAAGCACTGTTGCCCATCACCTTTAGCACCTGAAATTGAAGAGGCCACCCACAGGACACCTGGTCACAGTCTTCCACAGGATGAAGAGATGTACTGCATTTCTATTAAATGTTAAGCATTACTTCTAAAGTGGCACCTGTATTTATAAATGACAATGATCTATGCAAACCATTGTTTTTTTCATGATGCTTTCCTCTTTTGTTTTATTTTTGGGGTGAGGGCTGGATTTATAAGTGGCCACATCCCTGAGGAACAACTGTGTAGATCTTGGAATACTATTCCACAAGCCTGAAGTGTCCCCTTCTCTACATAGAAAATTATACTCAGCTTGGTACAAACAATTTCAAAAAATATGTATCCCTAGTATACCAGTACCTAGATACAACAGCAGGGCATCTCTAAACAAGGTCAGTTCATGCCAGATGAGTTTGTTAATGCCTGAAAACAGTTTTGTTTTGTTTTTTAAGGCAGAGAACAGCAGGATGCCAAGGTCAAATGCTACAGATTCAAAAAGGTCAGCAGGAAAAGAGACAGAGCCCAATTGCTTGTATGCCCATGCCTGATTGGTTATGTTTGACAGCTCTCAGCCTCTTGATACTGTTAGACACAGCTGAGTGTGAAATCTTACATCAAGAATCCTGACTTTTTGGTACAGCTTTGTTTAATTTGCTACAGAAAAATAGCTCTGGAACACAAACCATGCTGAGATGAAAAAACGGCTTAAGACAGAATATCTCACAATTCAGTAACTACTAAAAAGAACCGAAACACATTTCATACATATCTACACACAAGAAATGGTGCCAAATTAGTAAAAACAGGCATTTTTCTTCCATATATTTCAGGGTCAACTACAGAAATGGTAGAATCTGTCTTCAATAACCTTGAATAAGTAGAAAGAAAAAGGATGCGGAAATGACACGATGAAATTGACATGAAGGGGTGGGGTATCAACAACTACAACATAACATCATTTCCTAATAGGTGAAATGTCAAAAAGTGATTCAATGTGAGTGCAGCACTTAATGTCACAACTTAGCCTTGTCTAGCTACTACATCTCGTTTATGAATGATTACACAGAACCTGAGCAAAATCAAATTATTCATTGAGTCAAAAACCATGAAGCTTCCATCTCATAGGGAGCAATGACCATTGATTAAAAACCCACTTCTTCAAGATTTCAAGCCATTATCCAGGTATATGAAGAATAAGAACAGCCTAACACGCTGAACTAAACGATGAATCAATCCATACTAAAAAGAATGGACAGCACAAGCTATAAGATACTCTAATGACTTGATTCTATGCCAGTTTTTTCAAACAAGACCTGCTTAATACCAGGTCAATGTGCAAACGGCTTACAGATAGTTTTAAATATGGTTAAGGGTATACAAATCTATTAAATAAGAAATAATAGAATTGCTGCCTAAGGCATTAACCGATGAACACAGGGAAACTATTTTCCAGGGTATTAGCCATCCCACCCATATGAGGCATGCAGATACTATATTACTCCCCAAAGTAACGATACCCTTCCTGGGAAAGGTGTTTTGTTATGGTTTAGGAAGTAAGCATGTCCTATGGCTACTCCTTGTGGCTCCTATATATTGCAGCATGGAACCTGAACACAGAGAAGCAGCTTTCAAGCTGCAATGGCAATGCATTTCTCTACCCATAGACCCATGATAGCTGCAGCTAGTATCATTTTTTTCATATTCACACAAAGCTACTGGAGGTTACTGTGCAAAAAGATGTGACTCTGAGTGCCAGAAAAGAGTGCCTCTTTCAGAAGATGGAGGATCATTTCTGTGCAAAGAGTTGAACTTTAAGAAGCAGATACTCACTGATCTGATTTGTAGATGAACTGTAAAAGGCATTGACTGTAGTTGGACTAGTGAACCACCTGTTGTGAGAGTAAGAACAAGTTAGATTCTATAAGCTTATGGACAGAATAAACAAGCAATAAGGAAAAAAGATGTAATAAGATATGAAAAGTCAAAGCATTACTGCAACTGGAATGTTCCATTTGTGGTGCTATTCAAAACAACTGCATGGAACATTTTAAAAAATGATTGCATACTTCCACATTTTTAATTTTATTTCTCTTGCCACCCTTTTGCGTTACAGATGACTACAGGAAAGTGAAAGTGGCACTGGGGAGCCTAGAGTTGGTCATGGGTTGGGGCGGGCCTACCCACACGTTGGATCATTGTTGGATGCATCAGGGTAGGTGGCTCATTAGGCGCACTGCTTGTTATGCAGTTTGGCTTACCATGGTATGTGAACTTTTGGGAAATAGTTACCTGCCCTTTGCCATGCCTCCCTCTTAATGCTGGGGCCCAGGAGAACTCTTGTGTCACATACGACAGGGCCCAGTTTCAGTTCCCTGCATGTATGGCTTGCAAGCAGGAGAGTCACTGCCAGCCAGTTGCAACAGAACTGGGCTAGGTGGGCGGACAGTTAATTCCGTGTTAGGCAGCTGTCTATGTTCTTAGGACAGTTTCTCAAATTGCCAAATGTACCCCCAGCCCAAAAATATTGTCTACCCTAAGGCAGAGGGAAAGGGTTCCCCCCTCTTCAATTTCCCCTTCTCACAAAGTCCATACATTTATTTTCTAAAAGCCTTAACAGTCATTATGCCTTTTGCCCAATTTGGCAACATCCATGAACAAATTCCTAAATATTAACAGTTCCAGAGCATACATTTGAGCAAAAACTTTGATTTAGAACAATAGCATACCAAACTAAGCCTTCAGGGGTTAGGGAAATCACAACTGATTAGTGAATGGAGGAAAACAAGATGGCTTTTGAATAGTAAATCCAAGATGGCAAGTAACTTGCAGTGGGCCATATCTGACATGTATTCCAAGGCAGACATAATATGAAAGAAGCCATAAGCCTCCCTATCCTAAATGAATTCAGAAAATGAAGTAGCGAGCAGAGAAGGAGATGATTGCAATCCAAGATGGAGAAAGTTATATGAGGGGAAAGCTCCATTACTTCTCCCTTTCTCCCCTTCATTTCTTGTAATTCCTGTGATAAAACTGCATCAGAATTCAGCTGTGTAATAGTATCAATAATTAATTGTTTGTTGACAATAATTTTTCAATCTGTATTGATAATGGTTTTACACTGGCAATGTATGTTTCAGTACAGAACTCTGTACTTCATTATTATTATTATTATTATTAATAAGTAAGAAAGTGAGAACTAATTGACTGAAACTTCAAGGAGCAATATAATGTGCATATCTTAAATATCCATCATTACATCTTTATATCAATTCTTTATAGCAATAAATTCTTGACCCAGCAGAATTTATGGAGGATACATGGAAAGCATTACTTAATTCCCTCCTTCTCCACTAATAAAATGATAACATGGCAGATATATTTTGTAAGATAATAGAAGCCCAAAGATGACTGACATCTATGCTGAGGAGTCAGGAGAAAACATTTAGCAGGGTTGACTGCATTCCAATTTCAGAATCATTTACAGCAGCAGCCAAATAAACTAATCTGAAATGCAGGTGCACAGCTGCTCATAAGGAGGTGTCCTTAACCAGGACAACACTGAATGACTTTTGCTACGACCTGAAGGGGCACATTTGAAACACTGGGCACTTTTATTAGAAATTTAAATGCCATTGCACATTTCAAGTCTCTACCATGGCCTGAACCTTTGACATCATCTCTCTTTTCATAGCTGCCTCAACTGTCTCACGGCTTTTCCTCTGAGCTCTAACAAAGGGAGTTCTACCAAGTTGAACCAAGAGACTTCAAAGCTGTTCTTTAACCCTTCTTCAATAGGCACTGCTAATGTTTAATTTACCAGTCAATGGGAATTTAGAATACTTACTTTATTCTTTAGTCCATCTACAGTATCATGGGGCTTCTTGGTAGTTCCCTCATTCCACCTAGGTTGTTTACACACACACACACACACACACACACACACACACACACACACACAGTCTGAACACAGACCTGCAGAAAGATGGCTGTATCATATTCCTTCCAAACATGCCTTGGCAGTAATCTCAGTTCTTCTGAGGTTGTGTCAATGGGTCATTTTGCACTGTTAAACACTTGTATTCTAATAGAAGCATTAGGGTTTGTAAAATGATTTAAAGGTATAATAGAACAATTATATTCAGGAAATGTGCCAAATATGATAGTAAATGATGGTATAATGGAGCAATTATTCTTGGGCAGGGTACTATACAAGGATGTTGCCTTTTTCTAATATTGTTTGCTTTAGTATTTGTTTTACTATTAGCAAATCTTATTAGGAATAAAAATGCAATAAAAGGCATAGGTTAGATCAGTTTATTTGTTGATAATACTTCTACCATTGGTCCATCTACCTGGTCCATCTACCATTATGGACCAGGTTAGAATGCATTTGAAGTATTTGAAGAGATAGCAGGTTTAAGAATAAATCAAGAGATGGTGTTAATTATGACAAAGAAGACAAGGAAAAGATTAAGTATGCAGAGTCAGTAAGTATTCACCAAGAATTTAGAATGTTTAAAAAAAGAATAATTTTGATAAATTGAAGAATGACATAAAAGAGAAACTGAATGAATTTAGAAGGACTGGATTATCATGGTTTGGTAGACTGGAGATATTTAAAATGAAAATCTCACCTTAGATAATTTTTTGTTTATGATGTTATGAATTAAAATAATATATAAAGAATTAAAGAGATGGCAAGGTATGATTAACAAGTTCTGTAATGGTGATAAAAATAAAATAATGGATTTTAAAAAATAATAAAAAGGGATTTAAATAAAAAGAAGATTACATAGATCACAAAAGATAGGGAGACTTGGTACTCCTAATGTAAAGTAGTAACAAATCGAATGAAGCACATACCAGATATTATATTAATACCTGAAAAGGTAATATGGTCAAAATTAGAAATTTCTCAACTAGAAGGAACCTTGATAGATTGTTTAAAGATATAATAAAAATATTATTTAAAAGGAAGAGAAGCCTTTCCTTAAAAATACATTACAGATTTGGGATAAGGAAAAGTTTATGCCATCAGTCTTATCATAATATCCAATTAATTAATTATAATTAAATTTGAATTGCATTAAACTAACTTGGTTTAATGTGATCCAGCTAGAATGCTGGACTGAAGATTGGTTAAAGAAAAGAGATGGGTGTAGAGACAATACCAAAACACTTATATTCTGCTGGCCTTTCTTAAATCTAACAGGGCCTTTTGCTGCTTGTCTTCCAAGCTTCCTTTTGTTCATCAGCATTAAGGAACAAAGGAGGCAGGGAGGCTTTAGAAAGGGAAAGATTATGGCCCTTTTGCAACTTAGCACTGTGCGTGTGTTTCTTAGGCATAATCCATATCTCACCTTACCTGGTAACCTGGATTTAATTTATGGATCTTTGTTTAGTCTGTAAGAGCATAGAATGGAACATTCTGGGAGCCAGTGGTCAGACTAGATGGCCCGGGAGACCCCTTCTGACTCACTCTGTTTCTATATGAAGCAGTGCAATTTACACAATGCTCAGATAGGCCTTGGGCTCACAGCAGGAGAAGCCTCAAAGCATTCCAACTGAAAGTAGACAAATTTCTGCTTCACAAAGACCAGTGTTCTGAATACACATCTGCATCTCATGCCTATATTTCACTGAAATACATGCAGATGAGAAGCTTAGAAATGTACGCCTATATGGTATACAGAAATTGACACCAGTGTAGAGAATGTATTTTGGGAGGAGTGGTCCTTTGAAACTAGGTCAAAGTTCTATCCATAGAAACTTATGATGTAATCTAGTTGAAAAAAAGTGGATGTCTTATTCCCCCCTTCCTCAACCTGGTCCCATACCCTGGCTACCATGTTGGCAGGAAATGATGAGATGTGCAGTCCAATATGGCCAGAGGCACCAGGCTGGTGAAAGCTGCCTTACATTCATGTCACATGCACTAAGTTCCCTCTCTCTCTCTCTCTCTCTCTCTCTCTCTCTCTCTCTCTCTCT